AAGGTATAGTGTCTGGAAACCAGGAGCATTTGGGGTCACTGAAGAGCTCTATTAGGCTAGGGTAGATGATTCACAGAGGAAAGGATGGGAAATAAGTTTGGCTAGGAATTAAACTAAGATTAGTCTTAGCTAAGTTGAGAAGTCATGGATAGAGCAGTACTGGGGTGAAAGCAAAAGTTTAGAAGATAGTCTTCTGGTTTTGAAATGCTGTATATTGAGGCCCAGTTTTTTGGATAGTGCTGGGATTGTTATGGCCTCTCTCTGTGGCTTGGGTTCTTCATCTTTAACATAAAGGATTCTGGGACTAGGGATTAGTTTAGTGCATCCTTAGCATGTGCAAGACCCTAGGTTTAATCCCCAGAACCAAAAAGATAATAAAAGAGTTAGATCACAGAATCTTGAAGCCCTTATCCATCTCTAAAACTCAAGGACTCTGAGGAAACACAGACTGTGCAGAATGAAAAGGGGAGATCAAGCGGTCAGGGAAGCTGGGCGTGTATCTCAATGGCACAGCACCTGCCTGGCAAGTGCAAGGTCCTGAGTTCAATCCCCAGTACCAAAAGGAAAAACAAAAGAAGACAAATGAGGTTGGGAAGGTAGTTTGCAAGCTCTGGCTGAACCACATGTAACCCTGGGCTACATTTCTGCAGAGAATCTCCTACCCGGAGCTGTGGGAAGCCAATACCACCATCACCACCACTGCCAGGCACTGAGCTGCATTCATCCATTCACTCGTTCACTCATTCATTCACTGAGATAGGGTCTCACTATGTAGTTTAGGTTGGCCTTGAACCCACTATGCAGCCTAGACTGCCTCAAACTCATGGTGATACTCCTATGTCAGCCTCCTTATTTGGCAGTGCTAGGGATGGAACCCAGGGTCTCTCCCATGCTAGGCAAGCACTCTTATCACTGAGCTGTGTCCCCCAGCCCTGAGCCACTTTTTTAAAACTTCAGTTTTATGGATAGGAAATGCATATACACACTGCAAAAATTAAGTTATAAAATTCATGCATAGTAAAAATAACTTTTACTTACTGGGCTTTTGGCTAAGATCAAGTATAAAAATAAGTCTCCTTCATTCCCTTATTTCTAGCCACTCATTTCTTTCTTGCACTGTTATCAGTCTCTTGAGTATCCTTTTGGAGACAATCTATGCCCATATAAGGCTATGCCTACATGAGGATTCTCTAGATTCTTGCTGGGTGCAGTGGCATATGCCTATAATCATAGCTACTTAGGAGGCTGAGGCAAGTGGATTTCAAACTTGAGGCCAGTTTAGACCCTGTCTCAAAATAAAAAATAAAAAGGTCTGGGATGTAGCTCAGCAATCCCTGGATTTAACTTCCAATACAAAAAAAAAAGAAAGAGAAAAAGAAAAGATTTTATAGATTATTTTTCTTCGAAGAAATAAGAGGATAGTAAACACAGTGTTCCAAGTTTTTTTAAACTTGGAAATTCTGGAGATCTTTTTATATAAGTATATAGCTCAGTGGTAGAATACATCTTAGCATGCCCAAGACCCTGGCTTCCATCCTCAGCACAAAAATAAAACTCTGCCTCAATCTTTGTATGGCAGAACTATGATTTATTAGTCTCATACTGATAGATATTTAGGGTGTTTCTTTTCTATTATAAACAATATATCAGTACATACCCTGTACATATATCATTCAGCATATGCAGAAATATGTCCCCAGGATACAATCCTAGAACAGAAATTATATGCTAAGATCTTTTGTATGACTTAATACAACAACAGTTTAAGACAATCATAATTATGCTGATTATGAAAATGAGAAAATCAAGGCACAAAAAGATTTAACAACTTGGTCAAAATCATATAGCTCTCACACAGTAGAACTGAGATTCCAAGAGGGTCTGTCTGACAACACAATCATTCCACCAGTGATTCTCACACATTACCATCACCTAGAGGGCTTGTTAAAATATAGATGGCTGCATGTGACCCCAAGAAGTTTTCTTGTTTGTTTTGAAATAGGCATTTGCTATGTAGCCCAGGTTGTCTCAAACTCAAAATCCTTTTGGATGCTGGGATAATAGTGCGCACTTCCTGGCCTAGCTACCCTAAGAGTTTCTAATTCAATTCATCAACAGTGGGGCCAGAGAATTTGTATCCTTGATTTTTTTTTTCTTTTCAGTTGTGCTGGGGATTGAACCAAGACCACAAGAATGCTACACAGGTGCTCTATCTATCACTGAGCTACAACCTCAGCTTAAGAATTTGTATCTTAAAGCTGGATGTGGTGGCACACACCTGTAATCCCAGCACTTGGGAGGCTGAGGCAGGATGATTACTGTGAGTTCAAGACCAGCCTGAGCTACATAGTGAGTTCCAGGTCAGTCTCAACTACATACTGAGACCCTGTCTCAAAAAACAAAAAAGAACATGATCCCAACAATGAATGTAACTGTACCGTATCCCTAAAATGTACCAATAAACTCAATAAAATTAAAAAAAAAAAGAATTTGTATCTTAATTAGTTGTCAGGTGATCCTGATACTGCTGATCAAGGAACCACACTTTGAGAAGCATTGCTCTCTACTACTTTTCTATGTTACCTGTGCAGCCTAGAATGAAAGCAGTTGGCACTCAGCACCTGTCCCTGAAGGGACCATAGTTGAGGGGTACAAGACTTTATGGAGCCCATGAGTCTACACTCCAGGAGGAAAGGGTGAGAGTTCTAGCACAGTATCTGGCACATGGTTCTCAATAAATAGTTTTTGAATTAATGTATAAATCAATGAGGTGTGAAGTACTGTATGTAACTTGTTGCAGCCTCTTTCTCCAGCCTTTTGGGAAGCTCCATAGTCTACACTGGCTAAGATCATGCTATGAGAACTATGAGAAAGAAGAAGATCATGCTATGAGAGCCCTTGAGATTGAAGCCGTTCAATTCTTCCCATTCCCCCCTTGGCTTATGATGAAATCAATGAGGCAGCCAAGCCCCTGTTATTAATGAAGAGAGAATATCTTAGTATGCTAGAGTTCAACTGAAATAAGTTAGTCCAATGCTCTCATTTTATTATTATTAATAGCAACAGACATAACTCATAGCTCATCTATCTAAGTGAAATGTTTACTTTGGAAAAAAAAAAAATCCCTCAGCTGGGGATTTAGCTCAGTGGTTCCGCTGCCTGCCTTGCAAGCAGAAGGACCCAAGTTCGGTCCCTGGTACAAAAAAAAGAAAGAAAAAAGAATCCCTCTAACAAGAATTTCCTTCCCCTTTATTCTGGTACAGAGCCTCTTTTTGCAGAGTGGAAGGCTTTCCATGGGTTTGGTTGACTCACACACACACACACACACACACACACAATGGGGACAATTTACATTTTGGAGATTGGAGGTGTGTAGGATGCTCTTTCTGCAGAGCAGCAGCACCAAGAGGGATTTCCCACAGATATAGAGGAACAAAAGGTTTGTAAGGTAGCTGGGTATGGTGGTTCACACCTGTAATCTTAGCACTGAGGGAGGCTGAGGCAAATTCAAGTCCTGCCAGGACAATTTAGTGAGATCCTGTTTCAAAATTTTTTTAAAAAATTTAAAAGCTGGGGATAGAGTTCAGTGTGAACACTGTGAGCTCAATCCCTAATACAGAAAAAGAAAAAGAAAAAAAAGCTTGCAAGTTTATACATTTTTGTCCTGAGGCACCCAAGCCAACTCCTCCAGGTACTAACTCTGATAAAGAATTAGAGCCCTAAACGGGGGGGGGGGATTTAGTTCAGCGGTTTGGTGGCCTGCCTCACAAGTGCAAGGACCCAAGTTCGATCCCCATCCCCGGTACCAAAAAAAAAGAAAGAAAAAAAAAAGAATTA